CCATTTCTCCTTTCGTTTTTGAACTCTCTCTTTCATCGTCTTCCTTTCGTCCTGTGTTCTGTCTCGATCGAGGTACACACTCCGGAACTCCTGCTGTGTGTGTGTGTGTGTGTGTGTGTGTGTTTGTGCGTGTGTGTGTGTGTGTGTATAGTATATTATTGTGACCACGAACGAGTGGTATTGATCAATAACAACATTGCACTAGCCAAGGACTCGAACTCATGCTGCTTTGGCCTTCCTCATGGTGGGCGAAAACGCATGACACCCTACTCCAAGGATCGTATGGTCCAGTGGATTAGGGCGTCATGCGTTTTCGGCCACCATGAGGCAGGCCAAAGCAGCATGGGTTCGAGTCCTTGGCTAGTGCAGTGTTATTATTGATGTATATAGTATATGCTTGTACTTGCATGTGTAGTGTGACCTAAGTGTAAGTAGAAGTAGCAACATGTACCTGAAATCTTGCATGTATATGAGACAGAAAAAAAGACACAAGCAATCCTACCATCATGTAAAATAATTACAGGCTTTCGTTTTACACTCACTTGGCAGGACGGTAATACCTCCCTGGGCGAGTGTTTTCTACCAACCTACTATATTTTAATGAACCGGCTGTTGTATTATTTTAGTGGGAAAATGCTAAAACCTTAAGAGCAATATAGTGTAGGGGTAGTAGAAAGTAATTAGACTTGATCCAAGAAAAAGGATAATACAATCAAAGGGAAGCACTAAACCCACAGAGGTCATATATCACAATAGGGATGGAAGGCAATCAGGCTGAACCCAAGGAATGGAATTATAGCTCCACTTTATAGGACCAAGAGCCCTCCAGACAGCATCAAGGGACCTCCCATGAGCTCCAAAAGGGAAATAGTTCTGATTCCTTGGATCAAGAGGGCTTCAGCAGCCTCCAGGCACCTCCCTTTTTATTTATTTTATGTCTTTACAAACAGTACATTGAGATTTTGTGTTTACAACAGTGGGCTGCAATGCAAAGAGAGCGTCTATTATGCCTAGGCATAATGGGCCAACTTAACATTATTGGCTAACAGTCTACTTAACATTAAGGTTTATATCATAATTATACGGTAGGATAGTAATTATTTCATAGTTGTACAGTAGATTATTAATTATAAATGAATCAAAATTTGTATAAGACAAAAGATATATTCATATATTCAAAAATGCTTTTTGTGAAAACAATGATTCAATTATATTCCTGTCAACAATGGATAAAAGGTTCAAAGTGATTGTTGAAGTTATGATGTGGGAGTACATAAGTGAGTATGTGTGTACTGAGTATTTAGCGTTTAGTCTAGGGTGATTAAGTGGCTTTTGAGAAGAATCTTAAATTGACTTTCAGACTGGGTTACTTTAATATCTTCTGGTAATGAATTCCATATTTTGGGGCCCTTTATGTGCATAGAGTTTTTACAGTGTGATATGGACATGAGGTATATCAAAAAGAGATCTGTGTCTTGTGTTGTGGTCATGTGTCCTGTTTAGGTTGGTGAGGAGAAGTTTGAGTGGAGGGTTTATATTTGTGTGTATTGTTCTGTGTATGTAGTAGGCACATGAATAAGTATGGATGTTCTTAATGGTGAGCAGATTCAGACTTTTGAAAATTGGTGGAGTATGCTGGCGGGAGTGAGAATTTGTTATCATTCTTACTGCTGCAATTTGCTGGGTTATTAGGGGTTTTAGGTGATTGGATATTGTTGATCCCCATGCACAAATTCCATATGTAAGATAAGGGTATATGAGTGAATGGTACAGTGCCAGGAGAGCTGATTGTGGAACTTAGTACCTTATCTTTGATAGTATGTCTACAGTCTTGGAGATTTTCTTGGTGATTTGTTGTATGTGTGTCCGGAACTTAAGGCTGCTGTCAAGGTGGATACCTAGGAATTTTTCCTCTGTGAGTCTTGTGACTGATGATCCATTTAGCGTTATGTTAATTGGATCATTTGCAGCTTTGTTTCCAAACTGAATGAAATAGGTTTTATCAGTGTTCAGGGTAAGTTTGTTAGTCATCGTCCAGGCAGATATTTTCTGTAATTCGGCATTGACTGTGTTTGCTAGTATGACTGTGTTTAGGTGGGAAAAGACATGTAGTGTCATCTGCAAATAATATGGGTTTGAGTAGCTGTGATGCATTCGGTAGATCATTGATGTAGATGAGAGAGGAGTGGTCCAAGGACACTTCCTTGTGGGACTCCTACTGTGATTGGTTGGGTGGAAGAGTGCATCATTTGCATACACATATTGAGTTCTGTTACTAAGGTATGATTTTAGGTAGTTGAGGGAGTGGCCTCTGATACCATAGTGTATTAATTTGGAGTACAGCAGTTCATGGTCGACTATATCAAAAGCTTTACGTAAATCAATGAAAATGCCCAGCGGGACTTTTTTTTCAAGTGCTGTATATATTAGTTCTAGCATGTGTATGATAGCATCATTTGTGCTTTTATTATTCCTGAATCCAAACTGACAAGGGTTTAATATTTTGTGTGAGACGAGGTAGGAATAGATCCGTCTATGAATTAATTTTTCAAAGATTTTAGAGAGCAGTGGTAAGTTAGATATTGGTCTATAGTTATTCAAGTCAGCTTGGACACCTCCTTTGTGGATCGGAGTGACCCTTGCTATTTTGAGGATTGTTGGGAAGGTAGATGATTCAATGGATTTGTAAAAGAGCGTTGCAATAATTAGTGACAATACATGTACTTGAGAAGCTTTTTTGTACATAAAAGCAGGCAAGTTGTTTATGACTCCTGCCTTGTTTTTAAGGGTGTTTATGATGAGCGTAACTTCTATGGGGTTGGTTGGAGCTAGGAATAGCGTATTTGGGTAGGTACCTATGAGGTAGCCTGATGGACGGGTGTTTGCGCTTGGTATTTTGTTCGCTAGATTTTTTCCTATGGTGGAGAAGAAAACATTGAGTTTGTTCACTGTTTCAGTAGGTGTGAGTAGGGGTTCATCTAATTTTGTTAGTTTGATTATTTTGTTTTTGGATAACTTTTTAGTTCCAAGAATTTCAGATAGAGTTTTTCAGTTTTTTTTATATCACCTTTGATGTTATGTAATCTATTTTCATAATACAATTTTTTAGAACTTCTTATCAGGCTGGTAAGTGCTGACGAGTAACGTTTAGACTGTTCTCTAGTTATTTGACCCATTCTATACTGTTTTTCATATTTGTGCTTTGTGTTAATGGATTTGAGGATGCTTGGTGTTAGCCAGGGATTATTCAGTCTCTTTGCTGTGATCTGTCTAATTTTTGGGGGGCAATGTTTGTTATAGAGGCTTAGGACTTTTTTTAGAAAATTATTTATACATTCATTCATATCTGTATATGTTTCGAGCTCATTTTGCCAGTCGATGTTATTCATAGCTGCTATAAAGTTGTTAACTGCTGTCTCGTTATGTAGTCTGAAGGTTACTTTAGTAATGTTTACCTGGAGAGAGTTCCGGGGGTCAACGCCCCTGCGGCCCGGTCTGTGACCAGGCCTCCTGGTGGATCAGAGCCTGATCAACCAGGCTGTTACTGCTGGCAGTTTGCCCAGATTAGTTATGAGAAAGGTTGGGTAGTGGTCTGTAGTGTTGATGACCTTTCTAGTATTGTTTCAACACTACCTGGGGATGGAAAGTACAGTGTTGGCACTCTGAAGGAGAGGTGTTAACATTGCAGTTTTATAACTGTAGTGTAAGCATGCCTCTGGCAAGACAGTGATGGAGTGAATGATGAAAGTTTTTCTTTTTTAGGCCACCCTGCCTTGGTGGGAAACGGCTGATGTGTTAACCCGTAAACGGTCCAAACGTATATATACGTTTTTTCAACATTTGAAAGTATGTAAAAAAAGTAGATCTTCTTTTTGTTTTTCTACATTTGAAAATGTGTAAAAAACTTTGATCTTTTTTTTTGTTATATTTGAAAATATGTAAAAAAAACTTAGATCTACTTTTGTAGCACTACACATGTGAACGTAAATCTGCTTGGACCATTTACGGGTTAATAAAAAAAATTAAAAACTTCTTTCTTAGTTTACAAGGATGCCTCTTGCTCTCCATGTATCTGTCAAGTCTTCCATATCTATTTGTTATGGCTCTTTACATGGGGTTATTGTGTCTCCTCTTTTCCCATAGTCAGTTAATTAGAAAATATTATTACATTGTCTTCACATATAATGACTCTAGGCAAGCACACTGCTGCACAAACACTGCCAGCAGGTTAGGTGCTGCCCCATTCACCCAACTCTACTTCACCTCACAATTTACAGAAGCTAGTAAGCCATGAAGCTAAAACTTGAGTTTCAGTAGTAAATATTATTATTATTACATTCATGGGGAAGCACTAAACATAAGGGTCATACAGTGCCTTGGGAAATGGAAGGCATTCAGGCTTGATTCAAGGAATTGGAGCATAGGTCCAGTTCCTTAGCTCAAGAGCCCCTCGCCAACATCAAGGAACCTTCGTTGAGGGGTTCAGTAGTAAACACATGCACTGCAGTAGATTGCAATGGAGATGCATGAACATCTGGCTGCTTCAACTGATCGTGCACCATCCCTTCTGTTTAACCTCTATTCACTCACTAAAAGAGCATCTGGCTTACTGATTGGCCACAGCTCCATAGCAGACTAAACTTGGAGAGCAGAAACATGGGTCTACATGAACATAGCCTACATAAACATAGCCCTTCACTTGACATGCACAGCATGCCAGTGGCTTCTTTTGTGCTTAACAGTATTGTATTACATGTAAACTACATTTTTCATACTGCACACAAAAAATAAAATTTGTTTATTAAGATGCCTCCATTCAAGAATTTTCTTTTTAGTGTTGGGGAAAAAGATGCTTTAATATCAAATGATCTGACATTACAATTAATCTTCTGGGTAAAATCAGAGCATTAACAATGATACAATATACAGTATACATACAACATGACTTATTTTTGAAAGATAATAAATTCTAAGATAACTCAAAGTAATAACATTAACAATATTGCTAGCTGTCATAATCTTTATTTGGTAAGAACGTACAAACTGATAATACAACAATGAAAGATTAAACAGGAGTGGACAGTATTATAAATTTTACTTTTATGCATAGTGACTATAAAACCCTATAAAGAATTATCTGTGTTTATACATAATATGCAATATACAGGTGCTCCTCAACTTACAATAATTCGCCTTATGATATTTCGACTTTTGCAATTACCGTATTTTCCTACACGAGGCATGTTTTTTTTCCACACACACACAAATGTCTTGGAAAATTACTCTGCGCCTTATATACTCAAGGTCAGGGTGAAGGGTAGGTTTTGAGTTACACTTTAGCATAAAGTAAGAAAGGTAATTAGCCCTCTGAAAGACCCCAGTTAACTTAAACATCCCTAGTTACATGTATTTTGAAAAGCCAAGGCTGTCTTCAAGACCCCTGGCAGTCTTCAAGGCCTTTGGCCTTGTTGTGTGCCTTTATGCTGGAAAATACAGTACTCTGGAAGGTAAGACACATGAGAAACAGTTAGGCAACTTTATTCTGAAATGTTTCGCCTACACAGTAGGCTTCTTCAGTTGAGTACAGAAAGTAAGGCAGGAGCAGTAGAGATGTAAAGACGATGTGATCAGTCCATCACCCTGACAACCTCAAATCTACAAATTCAAGGGTGATGGACTGATGAAACTTAAGATAATTACCCAATATTAAGGCAGCAAGTCCATAATTTGTATTCATTTATTTACTTTTCATACTGGTATTTAGTTAGTTGCAGTAATTATTTGTTTATTTACTTATTCAGTGACAGTAGTTATTCACTTGTTTATTAAGCATATAATATCCATATTCGACATGATATTTTCGACTTACAATTGGTTTGCCAGAATGTAACCCCTTCGTAAGTTGAGGGGCACCTGTATGTTGATATATTTTTTAATCTTATTAAGTTCAAATAAACAATGAAGAATCTAGAAAACTGCTATTCTGAAATTAGCCAGGTACTGAGTATATGATCCACAGCCTGAGCAAAATTTTCAGCAACATATGATGGTTTTGGGTTTACAGTAGATTCATCCCCTGGTCTATACTTGCCAGTCTTGACCAGAATGCCATGAAGACCAGCATTCATCGCTCCACATACATCATCTCTAGCATCCTGCAACAAAGACAGCAAGAATACTATTATCTTTCTGAACAGTACATGAAACTATAATTTTCATTTTATTATATTCAAAAAGAAGTGCTAAACCCATGTGGGTTATTTAGTATGCATATAATGAGAGAAAGCTGCATACAGTCATACTCCACTTTACGTCATTTTGGCCTACGTCGAATTTGCCTCTACGCCACTGTTCTAGAATAAATTTCAGTTCAGCAAACATTACGTCTGACTTTACGTCACTCAGCAATGTTACCTATGTCATAATTTTTTTTAATTGTGTTAAGAACATAAGAAAGAAGGAACACTGCAGCAGGCCCACTGGCCCATACAAGGCATGTCCAAGTCACCCCCTGGCTTCAACCAATGACCCACCTAGTCAGGTCAGGTCACATCCACTTAGAGCAGGAGCATGGCATCAGACCTATTAGCACAAGCTAGTCAGGTCCAGCTAACACCCACCTATACCCACTCATATATTTATCCAACCTATTTTTAAAACTACACAACATCTTAGCTTCTATGACGGTACTCGGGAGTTTGTTCCACTCATCCACAACTCCAATTCTGAATCTGAATTTTTCCAACTTCAAACCATTGCTGCGAGTCCTGTCTTGGCTAGATATTTTGAGCAAGCTACAGTGGACCCCCGGTATTCGATGACATCGGTATTCGATAAATCCAGTATTCGATGCATTATATCGCAAAAAAATTTCCTCGGTATTCGATTGAAAACCCGGTATTCAATACGATTCGTATGAGACCTGTCCACGTGTGGCCTGAACTGCCCCGTGTGTGCCAGTGTTTACAAGCCAGCCAGTGTGCACGCATCTAAGGATACATTCGGTACATTCCATATTATCCATATTATCACTGTGTTTGGTGCTTGTTTCTGCAAAATAAGTCACCATGGGTCCCAAGAAAGCTTCTAGTGCCAACCCTGTGGTAAAAAGGGTGAGAATTAGTATGGAAATTAAGAAAGATTTTGAAGGGTTTGGGGCTAACCCTGAGAACCTATGCCTGTTGTGGAATCCATTGTGCCTACTTCAAAGATTAAGGAAATGTGTGCACAGTGGCTTGAAGTGCAAACCTTTATGGATGAAAATCACCCTAACACAGCTATTGTAAGCTGTGCTGGTGACTATTACAATGACAATGTTGTGGCCCATTTTAGACAAATCGTAAAGGAACGGGAGGTACAGAGCTCTATGGACAGATTTGTTGTGCGACAGAGGTCCAGTGACTCAAGCTGGTCCTAGTGGCATTAAAAGAAGAAGGGAAGTAACCCCGGAAAAGGACTTGCTACCTCAAGTTCTAATGGAAGGGGATTCCTTCTAAACACTAACACCATCCACACTCTCCCCTCCTCCCATTCCATCAATCATCACCAGATCTTCATTAAAGGTAAGTGTCAATTATTTTATTGTTATTGTAATTATTCTATTGCATTAAACTTAATATTTCATGTAGTAAAAATTTCTTTTTTTCATACTTTTGGGTGTCTTACATGGATTAATTTGATTTCCATTATTTCTTATGAGGAAAATTGATTCGGTTTTCGATATTATCGGTATTCGATGAGCTCTCAGGAACGGATTAATATCGAATACCGGGGGTCCACTGTATTTACATTCCCTTTATTTATTCCTGTTTTCCATTCATACACCTCAATCATATCATCCCTAATTCTATACCTTTCTAGAGAGTGCAGATTCAGGGCCCTCAGTCTATCCTCATAGGGAAGATTTCTGATACACGGAATCAACTTTGTCATCCTCTTTTGTACGTTTTCTAGTTCATTTATATCCATTCTGTAATATGGTGACCAGAACTGTGCAGCATAATCTAAATGAGGCTAATTGTGGCAGTCCCTGTCCTATCAGGCTGTTGATTGCCTCTGAAGCAAGACACTGCAACAACACTTGAGTGTACACACTAATACATATGTATGCATGGTAGATAGTAAGCTCAAGCTCCTTGACACCATCTCATAACCATTAATGAAAAGTTTTATCAAAATTCATGCTGGTTAATTCACTAAATAACATTTTCTAAAATACAGCTATACTACTTTGGCAACTAACAATACATTATAGCTTCAATTAACTAAAAGATGCATGTTCACATATTTAGTTGAAATATCAATTTAACCCGTAAACGGTCCAAACATATATATACGTTACCTACCGTAGTGCCCCAACTTTTTTGAAAAAAAAAAATCGTTTGTTTTTAATAGGAAAAAGGAGCATATGGTACCCAGGCATCCCCAATTATTTTAATATGACGCACAGTGAGTGCGCACACCCATTCTCTCATGTCTAGGTGACTCAGGCTTATTGTGGCAATGATAAATGTATGACCAATAAAACATATATATACATTTGGGGCACTAGCGGTAAAAACGTATATACACTGTATACATTTGGACCGTTTATGGGTTAATATACAATCTCTGTAAAGAATATAAAAGCACAAAACCGTGACTTAAACAATACACAATTAACACTGAAACAATACACAATTAACCTACAAACAGGAGAAAGAAACTCGTACGGTGTTTTGGTCTAACTCGAATTATTAACCACTCACAGTTATTGAGTCAAGTCGGACCAAAATATCATCATAAGTTTCTTTCTCGTATGTGCATGTTATTTGTGCATACAATCTCTGTGTATGTCATTCACTGCTGATGATGATTTAGAAGCAATTTTACAAAAAAATTTAACTGGAAATTCTCTGACTACATAAAGTGTATAACATCATACTAACATCTCCGATCATGACTGCCTCTGTGGCACTGCAGCCCAAATCCTCCAGAGCAGAGTGGAAGAATGAAGCTTCTGGTTTACCTACAGCTTCTGACTTACAACCTGTGAAAACAATGTTACCAGTGTACACAACCTCAGTTAAAACAGATTAGAATTGAAGAACATAGTACTTTTAAAGAATTAATAAGTATAAGCATAAGAATACTCCATGGGGCAGTGGAAAAGGATCCTTTGTCTGTAAGCCATGAGTGTTGTAAGAGGTGACTAAAATGCTGGGAGCTACCTGCTGTCCCTGTCCTTGTTCACCCATCAGTAAAATGGGTACCTGGGAGTTAGTCGACTGTTGTGGGTCGCATCCTGGAACAAAACTGACCTAATTTGCCCAAAATGCTCTGCATAACAAGGGGCTTTCTATATAGTGGTGTGTCATTGATGTCAGCTAGGCCTGTATACCATGTACATGTACTTGTAGTAAATAAAGATATGTATTATTATTATTAAGGGGCTAATGTTTCTCTTTTCAGGTCACTCTGTCTTACTGGGAGAGGGTTGGTGTCTTAAAAAATATGCACAAGAAGGGAGCATGTACAAATATAATGAATTTAAAATATCTTTAAAACAATTAAAATATTTTGTTTCATGCCTTTATACAGCACAGCATGGGAAAATCTGATCTTCATAAAATATTTATGCCAAAAACCTATGTAGCTCCAATTCTTCAAGTCAAAAGACCCTTGTGGGTTTAGCACTTAGTTATGATTATAGTAATAATAAAATAAAAAAACCTTTCACCAGCAACATAGCACCCCCTTGAATGATGTAAAATCAATGAGTTGAGCCACTATTTCTGAACTATAGTTCCATACATTCCTGACTCCTCTAAGGACCAAATGGAAATGTTGAAGGATAAGCTATGGCAGGAAAAGAAGGACTATAAATTTATTAATTCAAGGATTATGTGGAGTAAAATAAAGGTTGGATGTGAAAAGTGGGTTATAGTAAGCATATATGCACCTGGAGAAGAGAGAAGTGTAGAGGAGAGAGAGAGATTTTGAGAAATGTTGAGTGAATGCATGGGGAGTTTTGAACCAAGTGTGAGAGTACTTGTGGTTGGGGATTTCAATGCTAAAGTGAGCAAAAATGTTGTGGAGGGAGTAGTAGGTAAATTTGGGGTGCCAGGGGTAAATGAAAAGGGGAGCCTTTAATTGAGCTAAGTGTAGAAAGAGGTTTGGTAATAAGTAATACATATTTTATGAAAAAGAGAATAAATAAATATACAAGGTATGATATAGCACATAAAGAAAGTAGTTTGTTATGTATTGGTGGATAAATGGTTGATGGGTAGGCTCCATAATGTACATGTTTATAGAGGGGCAACTGATATATCGGATCATTATCTAGTTGTAGCTACAGTTAGAGTAAGAGGTAGATGGGACAAGAGGAAAATGGCAACAACAGGTAAGAGGGAGGTGAAAGTGTATAAACTAAGGGAGGAGGAAGTTCAGGTGAATATAAGCAACCATTGTCAGAAAGGTGGGCTGGTGCAAGTATGAGTAGTGAGGGGGTTGAAGAGGGTTGGAATAGTTTTAAAAATGCAGTATTAAAAAAAACCATACCATGGGCGGGGATAGAACCCGCGATCAGAGAGTCTCAAAACTGGTATGGTTTGTTTGCAATCGTGTCATTACGATTTCATGAGTAATGCAGTATTAGAATGTGGGGCAGAAGTTTGTGGTTATAGGAGGATGGGTGCAGGAGGAAAGAGGAGTGATTGGTGGAATGATGAAGTAAAGGGTGTGATAAAAGTGAAAAAGGTAGCTTATGAGAGGTTTTTACAAAGCAGAAGTGTTATAAGAAGAGTAGAGTATATGGAGAGTAAAAGGAAGGTGAAGAGAGTGGTGAGAGAGTGCAAAAGGAGAGCAGATGATAGAGTGGGAGAGGCACAGTCAAGAAATTTTAATGAAAATAAGAAAAAATTTTGGAGTGAGTTAAACAAGTTAAGAAAGCCTAGGGAACGAATGGATTTGTCAGTTAAAAACAGAGTAGGGGGTTAGTAGATGGGAGATGGAGGTATTGGGTAGATGGCGAGAATATTTTGAGGAACTTTTAAATCTCGACGAAGAAAGGGAGGCGGTAATTTCATGCACTGGCCAGGGAGGTATACCATCTTTTAGTATACCATCTTTTAGGAGTGAAGAAGAGCAGGATGTGAGTGTGGGGGGAGGTGCGTGAGGCATTACATAGAATGAAAGGGGGTAAAGCAGCTGGAACTGATGGGATCATGACAGAAATGTTAAAAGCAGGAGGGGATATAGTGTTGGAGTAGTTGGTATTTTTGTTTAACCCATAAACGGTCCAAACGTATATATACATTCTCTACCGTAGTGCCCCAACTTTTTTGAGAAAAAAAAATCGTTTTTTTTTTTAATAGGAAAAAAGAGCATATGGTACCCAGGCATCCCCAATTATTTTAATATGGCACACAGTGAGTGCACACACCCATTCTCATGTCTAGGCGACTCAGGCTTATCATGGCAATGTTGAATGTGTGACAAATAAAACGTATATATACGTTTGGGGCACTAGCGGTAAAAACATATACACGTACAGTGGACCCCTGCATAACGATTACCTCCGAATGCGACCAATTATGTAAGTGTATTTAAGTAAGTGTGTTTGTATGTGTATGTTTGGGGGTCTGAAATGGACTAATCTACTTCACAATATTTCTTATGGGAACAAATTCGGTCAGTACTGGCACCTGAACATACTTCTGGAGTGAAAAAATATCGTTAACCGGGGGTCCACTGTATATACGTTTGGGGCACTAGCGGTAAAAACGTATATATACGTTTGGACCGTTTACGGGTTAATAAATGTATGAAAGAGGAGAAGGTACCTAGGGATTGGCGGAGAGCAAGTATAGTTCCTTTATATAAAGGGAAGGGGGACAAAAGAGACTGTAAAACTTATAGAGGAATAAGTTTACTGAGTATACCAGGAAAAGTGTACGGTAGGGTTATTATTGCAAGAATTAGAGGTAAGACAGAATGCAGAATTGCGGATGAGCAAGGAAGTTTTAGAGCGGGTAGGGGATGTGTAGATCAAGTATTTACATTGAAGCATATATGTGAACAGTATTTAGATAAAGGTAGGGAAGTTTTTATTGCATTTATGGATTTAGAAAAGGCATATCATAGAGTGGATAGGGGAGCAATGTGGCAGATGTCGCAAGTATATGGAATAGGTAGTAAGTTACTAAATGCTGTAAAGAGTTTTTATGAGGATAGTGAGGCTCAGGTTAGGGTGTGCAGAAGAGAGGGAAACTACTTCCCGGTAAAAGTAGGTCTTAGACAGGGATGTGTAATGTCACCATGGTTGTTTAGTATATTTATAGATGGGGTTGTAAAAGAAGTAAATGCTAGGGTGTTTGGGAGAGGGGGTGGGATTAAATTATGGGGAATCAAATACAAAATGGGAATTGAAACAGTTACTTTTGCTGATGATACTGTGCTTATGGGAGATTCTAAAGAAAAATTGCGAAGGTTAGTGGACGAATTTGGGAGTGTGTGTAAAGGTAGAAAGTTGAAAGTGAACATAGAAAAGAGTAAGGTGATGAGGGTATCAAATGATTTAGATAAAGAAAAATTGGATATCAAATTGGAGAGGAGTATGGAAGACGTGAATGTTTTCAGATATTTGGATATTTGGGAGTTGACGTGTCAGTGGATGGATTTATGAAGGATGAGGTTAATCATAGAATTGATGAAGGTAAAAAGGTGAGTGGTGCACTGAAGTATATGTGGAGACAAAAAATGTTATCTATGGAGGCAAAGAAGGGAATGTATGAAAGTATAGTAGTACCAATACTCTTATGTGGGTGTGAAGCTTGGGTTGTAAATGCCGCAGCGAGGAGGCGGTTGGAGGCAGTGGAGATGTCCTGTCTAAGGCCAATGTGTGGTGTAAATATTATGCAGAAAATTCAGAGTGTGGAAATCAGGAGAGTGAGGAGTTAATAAAAGTATTAGTCAGAGGGCTGAAGAGGGGTTGTTGAGGTGGTTTGGTCATTTAGAGAGAATGGATCAAAGTAGAATGACATGGAGAGCGTATAAATCTGTAGGGGAAGGAAGGCAGGGTAGGGGTCTTCCTTGAAAAGGTTGGAGGGAGGGGGTAAAGGAGGTTTTGTGGGTGAGGGGCTTGGACTTCCAGCAAGCGTGCGTGAGCGAGTTAGATAGGAGTGAATGGAGACGAATGGTATTTGGGACCTGATGAGCTGTTGGAGTATGAGCAGGGTAATATTTAGTGAAGGGATTCAGGGAAACCGGTTATTTTATATAGCCGGACTTGAATCCTGGAAACATAAAATGCAATGCCTGCACCTTAAAGGAGGGGTTTGGGATATTGGCACTTTGGAGGGATATGTTGTGTATCTTTATATGTATATGCTTCTAAACTGTTGTATCCTGAGTACCTCTGCAAAAACAGTGATTATGTGTGAGTGAGGTGAAAGTGTTGAGTGATGATGAAAGTATTTTCTTTTTGGGTCACCCTTGGTGGGAGATGGCCGACTTGTTAAAAAAAAAAAAAATCACTACATGCAGACTTTTACCAGTTGAATATTCCAGTGCAGCTACAAATGCTCCTGGTCCGAGAGCCAGGCCATCACTGCGTTTGTAATAGCGGGCTCTGTGAATAGCTATGAGTGGGGCACCCTCGAGGAGAATCCTGCAATTAGAAAACATTGAAGAAAGCTTTCATAAACAAGAGAATCAACCTCAGATAAACGAGAGACAAAAGAAAAATGGAATGAAAAAAAAAAAAAACAGAATTCCCAAGAAATCCACAAACTGGAAATTAAAACTGGACATTTTAATGTCTCAGAGCATTACAATGTTAAGAGATCAGATGATGGATGGGGAAAATTAAAATTTCACCTCATTTTATTTACAGTTTGGGAGTTTATTATGAATTATTCCAGCCTCTTTGATGTGTCTTATTTTTCATTAAAACAAAAGTTATATTCTATGTTTTAGAAGAATGCAAATAAATTAATAAAAGTCAACAGATATACAGGATAAAGTATCCCACAAGCCAGACATTAACAGCAACATCCAGTAAGTGGCTCCTAGTTATGTACTTTGTTAGTTTAAAGACTGTCACTATATAAGGACCCTTCAAGAAAGGTTCCTTGATGTTGATTAAGGACTCTTGCTTCAACAAATTACATCTGTCCTCCCCATTCCTGCATCAAACCTGATCAACTGCTTTTTCCAAGGCACTGTGGATTTGAAGTTTAACTTTATTATAATAATAGTAATAATAATTCCCCTTAAATACAATAATATATAACTACTTGCAAATCATTACCTGGAGTTTACCTGGAGAGAGTTCTGGGGGTCAACGCCCCCGCGGCCCAGTCTGTGACCAGGCCTCCTGGTGGATCAGAGCCTGATCAACCAGGCTGTTGCTGCTGGCTGCACGCAAACCAACGTACGAGCCACAGCCCGGCTGGTCAGGAACCGACTTTAGGTGCTTGTCCAGTGCCAGCTTGAAGACTTCCAGGGGTCTGTTGGTAATCCCCCTTATGTATGCTGGGAGGCAGTTGAACAGTCTCGGGCCCCTGACACTTATTGTATGGTCTCTTAACGTGCTAGTGACACCCCTGATTTTCATTGGGGGGATGGTGCATCGTCTGCCAAGTCTTTTGCTTTCGTAGTGAGTGATTTTCGTGTGCAAGTTCGGTACTAGTCCCTCTAGGATTTTCCAGGTGTATATAATCATGTATCTCTCCCGCCTGCGTTCCAGCGAATACAGGTTTAGGAACCTCAAGCGCTCCCAGTAATTGAGGTGTTTTATCTCCGTTATGCGCGCCATGAAGGTTCTCTGTACATTTTCTAGGTCGGCAATTTCACCTGCCTTGAAAGGTGCTGTTAGTGTGCAGCAATATTCCAGCCTAGATAGAACAAGTGACCTGAAGAGTGTCATCATGGGCTTGGCCTCCCTAGTTTTGAAGGTTCTCATTATCCATCCTGTCATTTTTCTAGCAGATGCAATTGATACAATGTTATGGTCCTTGAAGGTGAGATCCTCCGACATGACCACTCCCAGGTCTTTGATGTTGGTGTTTCACTCTATTTTGTGGCCAGAATTTGTTTTGTACTATGATGAAGATTTAATTTCCTCGTGTTTACCATATCTGAGTAATTGAAATTTCTCATCGTTGAACTTCATATTGTTTTCTGCAGCCCACTGAAAGATTTGGTTGATGTCCACTTGGAGCCTTGCAGTGTCTGCAATGGAAGACACTGTCATGCAGATTCGGGTGTTATCTGCAAAGGAAGACACAGTGCTGTGGCTGACATCCTTGTCTATGTCAGATATGAGGATGAGGAACAAGATGGGAGCGAGTACTGTGCCTCGTGGAACAGAGCTTTTCACCGTAGCTGCCTCGGACTTTACTCTGTTGACGACTACTCTCTGTGTTCTGTTAGTGAGGAAATTATAGATCCATCGACCGACTTTTCCTGTTATTCCTTTAGCAATCTGCCTAAATACCAACATTTATATAGTGCCTTCATATACGTGAAGTCTGTGCGTGTATATGTACATTGTCTACTGCTGTTGCACATCACCACACTTGTAGAACTAAAATTCAACACAGTAAATCAGAACACTGTACCAAATACGATATTAATGTTGCCATTTAAAATAAATCCTTAATTCTCTTAATCTGTTCCCCAGTGAGCCATAAAGTAGCAAGCAACAGTGGCAGCTTAAGGCCCATTTAAAAAGTTCAAACCCTTCTTGAAGGATCTCAGAAATTTGTTTTAATTATTTTTTCACTCACCTGAAAGCTTTTGTCATATGTTCATAATCAAAGTATTCTGGAGCTAAGCCAACAAGTACAGCATTTTGCTTCTCAGAGTTAATATCACTAAATTCCTCCTTGGCTGCATCAGCAATCAACATATATGGTCGCAAACTTCTTTTGTCTATTAAATGTCTGGCTGCTGTCAGAGATGTGAAGATTTCCTCTTTATTAATACTGAAGCCGATGCGTGCAAGTCGCTCATGAAGGATACGTTTGGACTCCTTAGTAGTGTTTGTTACAAACTTAATCTTCGCACTTGTTTCTCGCAATCTGAAATGGATTTTTATATTAATGAAGTATTTTTTTTATGCTTTCATTCCACATTAACTACAGTAGCCCTATGGGGGTTATTAATCCAAATCAAGTCACTGTCTTTATCAACCACCTTACAATATCATCTAGCTACATACACTATAGTGCATATTTACTCAGGTTACTAAGTTTATAACACATTTGTTACAGGTATAAAATTTCACATAGTCCATCAATATACAAATAATATTTTAACCTGTAAATGATTTTTGGACAGCAGTTATTTTGCTGGTTAACAGCATAAGATATATAAAATCTATTTTATTAACAGTTGCTTTGATTAGTTTCAATATATTTTAAGATAAATTCTGATAAATTAGACACATGTGCAACTCTTGGGTATCTTTATTGAGGAAACGTTTCGCCACACAGTGGCTTCATCAGTCCATACAAAGGAGAATCTTGAAGAACAGGAGGAGAATGAGGTAATCAGTCCCTCAACCTTGAGTCGATGTGGTCAGTCCATCAATCTCTGAACCATTCATCTACAAACCTGTCAGACACTGCAACTTCTTGGGATCTTAATACTTGGGAATTCTTCGCTTGCCTAATTCTTGGGCATGACCTACTCTGTCTGACTTTTTTGGGTTATCCTAGGTTCTCTACACATATGCTGCTATGTATGATAATTCTATGTAACTGTATTGTGTATACCTGAATAAATTTACTTACTTACTTACTTACTTACTAACATTGAACAAATGTTACACGACCTATGACTGCTTCACCTCTCCTGCCAACGGTTTATAAGCTCCTTCTCAGCACGTATGCCGTATTCTATTCAAGATTGATGGACTGACCACATCGACTCAAGGTTGAGGGACTGATTACCTCATTCTCCTCCTGTTCTTCAAGATTCTCCTTTGAATGGACTGATGAAGCCACTGTGTGGCGAAACGTTTCCTCAATAAAGATACCCAAGAGTTGCACATGTGTCTAATTTATCAACATGTCGGTTCTCTGAACCATTCATCTACAAAGATAAATTCTGCAGAGAAGTAATTGTAGAGCAAAATATTTTAAAAATTATTTAGAATACAGCCTGTCCCCACTTAACGACGGAGTTCCATTCCTAAGACCATGTCGTTAAACAAATTTTTCACAAAGTGAGGAGCATACTATAATGGTAGTGGGTTTGTGTCAACCATCTTTGATATTTTAATGTCACCTTTGATCCAGTTATAACATTTCTGGTATATTCTTAAATGTTTATACAGTAGTGTACTGTATACTGAAATAAACAGAATAGAGGAAATCAGCTCTAATATGCATTATTAAGGTATAAATACTGCTCAGAGAGCCCATCATAAGTCCGAGGTGTCAGTAAACGAGTATGTCGCTAAGTGAGGAGAGGCTGTATACAATTTTTTTTTAGGTTTTCAATCAAAGCTTAATGATTATCATATGACTCAAACACCAGACATGATTGATGAATATGACATATATAGTCATGCATCGTATAACGACAGAAATACGCTCTGAGAAATGTGTCATTGCTGTTGTGTGAACATCATAGAGTGTACTTACACAAATGTAGATGGCACAGCCTGCTACACACCTAGGCTATGTTGTATGTTTTTTTCATCATAGACTTGCCTGAAAGCAGATAATTCACCATGGACATTCCTCTCTATTAATGAAAACCTTTTGGTGTTGGGGCCCATGTTTTCAAACTTTTTAAGAAGCTTGTTGAGGTCTGCAAAAGCTTCTGCTAAACCTTTCACTATGAATTTTCTTTGGGGATCTTCTTTATCTTCTCCTGCAGGGCCCATGATTAACAAAATAACACGAGATAAAATCAAGGACAAGGGAAAAATGTTGCTATCAAGAGACAGTAAACACGAGATGTGTGAGGCTGCTGCCGGCGTAACATGGCATACTGTTTTATAGCAAACTTTTTTAATAAGTAGAAAGAGTACACTCTAGAATAACAATAATACTTTTATATAACTGGCAGCACAGTAGGTTTCTTTACATCGCCATTATGTATGCAGTCTGTCATTGATGAAACGTAGTTATGTGGAGCATGACTGTCCAACACTTTGGTATCTTTATTTTTTAAATGTTTTACAAACTCAGTAGATTTCTTCTGTCAAATACAGAGGTGACTAATATTGTATTTGACTGAAGAATCCTACTAAGTACGCAAAACATTTCAGAAATAGAGATACCAGTATTTTGCACACACACACCTATTCATCAACTTGTCAACATCATTTACCATTAATATAATAATACAACAGAGCATTATAATTGGGTGGTTATGCTATATGTATAAACTTTGATAATAGAGGAATACAAATAGATACAATGAGCATTTAAAAAAAATAATTTCACACCCAAACTTAACCTTATAACCTCCTGAAGTGACACACAATAAGGAAAAAATTAACAATTTTTTTTCTGTAGAGGTCAGTGCTGAGAATGGGACATAATCATATTTGATCCAAGGAAGGAGAGGGTAGCTCCAATCCTTTGGATCAAGAATTCTTCACCAGTTTATGAAAAAAAAAAAACTTGAAGGCTTCCCTTTGAGGGCAACTCCTTAATGACGTTAAGAGGCTCTAGATCCAGGGAACTGGACATGTCTCCCATTCCCCAGGTGCTATGTTATCCCTACGGATTTAGTGCTTCACCCTATAGAAAAATTCCACTTTAAGAGGGACCTGGAGTTACTAAACACCAGCACTTTATTGATCCATTATAAATGATAGTATTCAAGTACACAGCCATAACACTAAATGACAAATAACTGTCGATAATCTAATAAAAATCTTTACTGAATCAGTCAGAATAATCTTAATTCTTACTTTTTCAATGCCTCAATTGATCCTGGTATCACAGTATCATCCACATGTAACGTCCCGCTCAGGTCAACTAAAATAGCCCTGATTTTCTTAGCCATTACTGAAAGCAATTTACCACTGCTGGAGACAATATATAAAGTAAAATGTCTGTGGATGGTGACACTGTCTTCCTGAGGTTATATGTAGTTTACTTGTAGGTTTCTTCTCCTGATGGAGAGCAACACAACAATGACAATGTTATTCTTGTAGTTATGGGTCACTAGTGTGAGCTGTTGTAAGTTTATTTTGGTATACACAAATACAGTTATATAAATTATCATACATAGCAGTATATGTGTAGAGAACCTGGGATAACCCAAAAAAAGTCAGTGACTTATCATTTGAGTCCTTTGGTGATCGACTATTCTATATTAGATACCTTTAAACTGCTAACAAGTAAGTGTATTTAGGCACAGATACGCGTAAGTACAATTATCATACATACATAATGTAAATTATCTAGGATAACCCAAAAAATTCATAGGTTAGGATTTTGTTCGATTAACTCTTGAGATCAAGACCCCTATGGTAATAAGTAACTTTCTTACTTTTTTGGGAGTTATCCTAGGTAATTTATGCACAAGTTACTGTGTATGATAATTTGTGTAACTATTTATGTGCACCTATACCTAAATAAATTTATTAAAATATTACAAGGACTCCAATATCTGACTTTTTTGGGGGTTATCTTAGGTAATATACATATGTGTTACCATGTAAGATAATTGTACTTACGTGGACCTATACCTAAATAAACTTACAAACTCAATAGTCAGGCTTTTTATATAATCTTTTAATTCCCTTCTCCACAACATTAGCCTAATAAATTTGCGCCGGCCGTTATCCAGTTAATGTGAACCTCAGATGAAATGCTCAGAACTGTGCTCACTCTGAGGTCCTTTTTGACATTATTATTATTATTATAATCAAGGGGGAAGCGCTAAACCCGTAGGATTATGCAGCGCCTGGGAGGGGGATGTGGAAGGCATTCAGGCTTAATTCGGGGAACTGGAGCACAGATCCAATTCCCTAAATCAAGAGCCCCTCACCAACATCAAGGAACCTTCCCTGAGGGGTCCTCTTTGACAGATCTTTGCAACCTTTGCCTGCTGTATAATCCTCCGGGTTTAGCGCTTCCCCTTGATTATAATAATAATAATGCAACCTTTGCCCCCGAGCCAATAAATATTTCCGGTCTTCTTTTCCCTTTCCCAGTTTTTCATAACTTTGCATATGTTGGGGCTAAATTCTAATAGCCATTTGTCAGACCAATTCTGCAGATTGTCCAAGTCCATCTGTAGGTTTTCATAGTCTGCTCATATTTGTATTAATAAGCAGAGGTGTCTGACTGCTCGAGTTCAGACGAGGGAGTCGACCTGACTTAAACTGGTGCCTTATAGTTCCCGTTTCTCTCTCCAGAAAAGATAAGATTTCGTTCAGATTTTTAACCCAGATAAGATAAGATAAGATAAGATTTCGTTCGGATTTTTAACCCCGGAGGGTTAGCCACCCAGGATAACCCAAGAAAGTCAGTGCGTCATCGAGGACTGTCTAACTTATTTCCATTGGGGTCCTTAATCTTGTCCCCCAGGATGCGACCCACACCAGTCGACTAACACCCAGGTACCTATTTGCTGCTAGGTGAACAGGACAACAGGTGTAAGGAAACGTGTCGGAATTTCCACCCGCCGGGAATCGAACCCGGGCCCTCCGTGTGTGAAGCGGGAGTTTTAGCCACCGGGCCCAGGAAGGTTAGCCACCCAAGAAAGTGCGTCATCGAGGACTGTCTGTCTTATTTCCATTGGGGTCCTCAGTCTTGTCCCCCAGGATGCGACCCACACCAGTTGACTAACACCCAGGTACCTATTTTCTGCTAGGTGAACAGGACAACAGGTGTAAGGGAACGCGTCGAAATGTTCCCACCCCGCCGGGAATCGAACCTTGGCCCTCAGCGTGTGGAGCGAGAGCTTTGCCAGCCAGGCCCCGGGGTCACCAGGATGAAACTATTTCCTTTATAATTCCCAGCCAGATTTGGGCAACATATTTTCCCCGGGTTCCCGGGAAGTACGACCATTATCTTGTCTAGTTTTAGGTAGTTTCTGTGTACTGTTGTCTTGTTTAGTTTTAAATAGTTACTGTGTACTTGGATTAGTCTGCCCGAAATACCCCGGCGAGATAATGGCTTTCTTTGTACTTAGCAAACCAAAATTGTAATTATACATTGTAACCTTTACAAAGAAATAAATATCTTTATCTTAATAAGACACAAGACTCAGAGCCCCTTAACAACCCCAACACTACAACAAGAAGATGATTGGTTGTCTCTTCTAATACTAGTAACAGCTGTTGACCAATAAATACTCTTCTAACTTAAGGTGCTGTGGAATTCAGCTACATGATTGGTTGTCGTTTCTAAGATAAATGGCAACTGTTGACCAATAAAAATGCTTCTAAATGATGGCGGCGCTACACAACTGCAACTCTAGCACCTGTAGTGAGAAGATATATGACTGAAGCAACACCTGTCACACAACAACTGTTTTTTATTTATTTCAATTTATTTTCAATTTGTGCACACATACAGAGGTACAAAAAAATACAGGTAAGAGCAGTATGCCAAAGCCACTTATACTATGCATAGCATTACGGGCTGGCTTAAAATTAACTTAAGATTAACTAAGCAATGATGAAATCAGTGATAAAACATTAATGTAAACAGATTACTATAAAGCACAAGTGAGTATTACAAAGACAGGTCATATTGTTGCATTCAGTTAGGTAGTGATTCTGTTAGGTAGTGTATTTAAAAAATATTAAAGTTAGATTCGGTTTTTAGGTTTAACATTTATATATATAATTGTGAGAAACATTAAGATATACAATTTATAAGGTTCAGTTATTCAGTATTTTTTTGGGTTTTGGGGTGAGTAAGTGATCTTTGAGAAGGGGACTTGAATTTATAATCAGGTAGTGTTTCTTTTAATATTTACAGGTAATGAATTCCAGATTTAGGGCCTTTTATGTGCATTGAGTTTTTGCATAGTGGAATGGACACGGGGAACATCAAAGAGTGATCTGTGCCTTGTGTATGGCATGTGTTTCTGTTGAGGTTGGCAAGGAGATGTTTGAGGAGGTTAATATCAGAGTTAAGTGTTCTATGTATGTAATGGGTGAAATAATAAGTATGGATGTTTTGTATGGTGAGTAGGTTTAGTGTATTGAATATTGGTGGAGTGTGCTGCCTGTAGTGAGAATTTGTTATCATTCAACTGCAGCCTTTTGTTGAGTAATTAGTGGTCTGAATGGTTAATTGTTGTTTGAGCCCCATGCACAAATTCCATAGGTGAGAAGGGTAAATAAGAGAGTGATATAGGGCCAGGAGGGCTGACTGTGGAACATAGTACCGTATCTTCGATAGTATGCCTACAGTCTTTGGGAAATTTTCTTTGAGATGTGTTGTATATGTGTATGAAATTTGAGTCTATTATCAAGGTGGATTCCTAAGAATTTTCCCTCTGTTAGTTTTTTTGATAGGTGATCCGTTTATCATTATGTTAAGAGGGACATCTGTAGCTCTGTTAAACCCAAAAGAATGAAGTAGGTTTTGTCAATGTTTAGTGTAAGTTTGTTAGTCCTCTCCAGGTAGATATTTTTTGTAATTCGGTATTTACAGTATTGGCTAGCGTGACTGGGCTCGGGTGAGAGAATACGTAAAGTAGTGTCATCTGCAAATAGGTGGGTTTGAGTAATTGCGAAGCATTTGGAAGTCATTTATGTATAGGAGAAAGAGAAGAGGCCAAGGACACTCCCTGTGGGACACCAACTGTAATTGGTTGCGCAAAAAGAGTTTGCCCCATTGCGTACACATATTGGCTTCTGTTGCTGAGGTATGACTTGAGGTAGTTGAGGGAGTGCCCTCTTATACCATAGTGTGACAATTTTACGTGGAGCAAGTCATGGTCAACTGTATCAAAAGCTTTACGTAAGTCAATGAAGATCCCCAGTGGGACTTCTTTTTTCTCTATTGCAGTGTATATATGTTCTAGCATGTGTATAATAGCATCATTAGTATTTTTATTAGGCCTGAATCCAAATTGGCAGGGGTTGAGTATGTTTGGGAGATAAGGTAGGAGTAGATTCGTTTATGAATTTAAATTTTTTCAAAGATTTTTGAGAGAGGGTGTAAGTTGGATATTGCCTATAGTTATTCAACTCTGTTTGGTCTCCTCCTTTGGGGATCGGGGTGACCCTTGCTATTTTGAGTACTGTAGGGAAGGTGGAGGATTCAATGGTTTTTGTTAAAGAGTGTTGCAATGATTGGTGATAGCACTTGTGACACTTTTTTTGTATATAAAGGGTGGAAAAGGTTTTTAAAATCTCCTGCCTTGTTTTTTAGTGCGTTGATAATAAGGGAGAAATTCATATGGGTTAGTCGGAGCTAAAGGGAAAAGAGTGTTTCGGGTAGTTTGCCGGGGAGGTAGTCATTTGGTGGGTATCTGACTTGGGATTTTAAAGGCAAGGTTTTGTCCTATAGTGGAGAAAAATCAAATTTAGTCTGTTTGCTGTTTCTGTTGGTGGGAGTTTGGGGTTCATCTGATTTTGCTAATTTTATTTCGCTATTTTCGTGATAAACTTTTTTTTTCCCAGAATTTCTGATAGGGTTTTCCAGGTCTTTTTTATATCACCTCGTAAGTTGGATAATCTGTTCTCATAATACAATTTTTTTGCCCTTCTTATCAGGCTGGTTAGGATTGACGAGTAACGTTTTGTTTGGTCTCTGGTTATGTGACCCATTCGTACTGTTTTTCATATTGGGTTTTGTATTTATGGATTTGAGAATGCTGGGTGTTAGCCAGGGACTGTTCAGTCTCTTTGCTGTCATCTGTTTAGTTGCAGTTATCTACAGGAGAAGCAACTTCCTGTGACCTCCAGTACACTACATGTATCATGACTGATGAACATCAAAATGGTATACAATACCGACAGGTTGTTAGGTAAGACACATATGCAACAGTTAGACAACTTTATTCGAAACGTTTCGCCTACACAGTAGGCTTCTTCAGTCGAATACAGAAAATAGGCAGGAACAGTAGAGATGTGAAGACGATGTAATCAGTCCATCACCCTTGTAGTCGTAGAATTTGAGGTTGTCAGTCCCTCGGCCTGGAGAAGTTCAGTTCCATAGTCAGGAACTATCTGAAGATCAAGCGACAGTGCGGAGACTTGAATACTGTCGGAAGGAGAGGTGCAGAGTAGTTAGTAGTAGTAGTAGTAGTGGGGAATGTGACCACTGAGAGATCATGTCCCTCTCAGTCCGCCCTTCTCACTTGAAAAGCTTGTCCAAGGTGTTTTCTGTACCAAGATGCCATGTGTTGCAGTGTCTGCAAGATGAAAATCAAAATGGTATACAATACCG